CTTTAAAGTGTTTTTTCAATGTTTCAATTGTCGCTTATTGCAAAAGTCAATCCACCCACCATGAGTTGGAACTTGGAACTTGGAACTTGAACTTTTTTATTTCCCCATCGCCCCTTTGGAACTTGGAACTTGGAACTTGGAACTTGGAACTTTTTCATTTCCCCATCGCCCCTTTGGACTTGGAACTTGGAACTTTGTCATTTCCCCATCGCCCCCTTTTTGCGAGTATTTTGTTGATTTATGACCCCTTCCGTTTTCCTTTTTGGAGCTTGTTAAGGCTAAGTTCTTAACTTGATAAGCAACTTAAGAAACTTAAGTCTCAAGCTCCATTTTCTTTTCGGCCGATGTTTCTGCGGACTTTGTCCTCCATCGTCCATCTCATATTGTGCAGAATTTTCTTGCTTATGTGCAGGAAATGATGCGGCATTTCGTGTGAACTCCGGATACTACAGAGAATTACATATTATGATTATTATCATTTGTTATGTTCACTCTTCAACTGGCAGGTGCGTACGGCTTCCATGCCTGAATCCAGCAGTTGAATGCGACCAGTTACGTCAGCAGTGGAACGCTTTCAAGATCAAGCATTACATATTGAAGAATGCACCAAGTCTCAGGAGAGAGACAAGGAGGTGGGTGGTATAGATCTCCAGTCCCTCCCTTGGTCGTGAGACTCGGATAGAGAAGTCATTAATTAGCAGCCCATCCATTCATTCGAAAGACGTCTGTTCCAGAATGAAATCATGATCTGTGGTGATATAGGAACAAGATCTCTGTGGCAGGGGACGTGCTCTCTGCTATCTTGTCGAAAGTTTCACAAAAGCTAAGTATCATTTCAACACGACATACGGGTGACCTCTGTGGGAGATGGATGATAGGAGCTGCATGATGAGAGAGGAGAGGAGAGAAGAGAGAGGAGAGAAGAGAGAGGAGAGGTGAGAGATGGGAGTTTGTGTGTACTCTCGGTGATTCTATGCCGACCAGTGAAAGGTCTGTCTGTGGAGAAGTAAAGAAGAAGGAAAGAGTTAACTTATCAGTAGCAGGTTAACCAGAGAGTTAACTAGAGTTAACGTACCAGTAGCAGGTGAACCAGAGAGTTAACTTACCAATAGCAGGTAAACCTGAGAGTTAACTAGAGTTAACTTATCAGTAGCAGGTAAACCAGAGAGTTAACTAGACTTAACTAGACTTAACTTACCAATAGCTGGTGAACCAGAGAGTCAACTAGAGTTAACTTACCAGCAGCAGGTGAAGCAGAGAGTTAACTAGAGTTAACTTTCCAGTAGCAGGTGAGTTAACTTAGTGTTAAGTGAAGGGAAAGGGAGGATAGAGAGCACACTGAGCATCTTTTTTTTTTTTTTTTTTTTTTTAATACCAGCTCTGGAAAATGTCAAAATGACATGTTATGATTGTTATCAACTTTGATCCAGTGGGTGAAAATTGTCTTTGCTAGTTAGTGGGTTTACCGCAAGCGATCTTCATTTTATTTATTTTTCGGAAATTTTCCCCTCTCTCTCTTTTGGATAAAACTTTTAAGGTCTGCGTAGAAAGGAGAGCTACCAAGCTGACCAGCAGACGAACCAGCGGTTATCGGCGAGTCAAGGAAAGGAAGGAGGGGCGCATTCTTATTTTGGTTTTGTAGAGGGTGCTGTGAAGGCGTACTTTGGTCCTCAGGATGAGAGTTTAGTTTTGTAGAGAGACTGCGGGGAAGTATTAGCAAGCAGAGGTATTAGCCGCCAGTCAGTGAAGGGAATGAAGAACGCTGTACAGTTACTACAGTAGCAGTTTGGTCCTCAGGATGAGAGTTTAGTTTAACTTAGCGTACGAACTACAATCGATGATTTGATTAGTTTGATAGTTTCTGAATTTTGACATTAAGAAAAAGCTTTGTAGAAGAAAAGGTTACCTGACCACCAGCAGGCGGACCAGAGGTTAGCAGCAGCAAGTCAAGGAAAAGGATTCCGAACTTATCCGAAGCGCTTTTTGGCAGCCGAAGAATCCGAAGCGCTTCTTTTTGGCAGCCGAAGAATCCAAATCGATGTTTTGATTAGTTTGGTCCCGCATAATATGAGAGTTTACCTTTTTTGCCACATAACACACACACACACACACACACACACACACACACACACACACACACACACACACACACACAGAGAGAGAGGAGAGTCGATTGTTTTATTCTTTTCGCATGAAAGGGCTGTGTGCAAAGAAGAGGTTGGCAGACTAGCAGCAGATGGACCAGAAGGTTTAGCAGCAATTGAAAGGAAAGGAAGCGCATTTTGGCATTCGGGTCACCCGGATGAGAGTTTACTGGAGTGTAGTTACTACAGTCAATTGTTTGATTCTTTATTTCAGACTTGAGTTGAGTTTAGTGTAACTAACACTGTTACTACAGTCAATTGTTTGATTCTTGTTTCACAAGGACTGAGTTTACTTGGTGTAACTACACTGTTACTACAGTCAATTGTTTGATTCTTGTTTCACAAGGACTGTGCAGGAGGGGCAGTTAGCTGACCAGGAGGCAAAAAAAAAAAAAAAAAAAAAAAAAGCTGACCAGGAGGCTGGTCTAGGGTACGCATAAAGTCAAGAAAAGGGGGGCGCTGTAGAGCGTAGTGCCACTGGGTCAGCTGTGTCAGACTTGGTGGAATTACAGTAGATTAGATTTTTTTTTTTGGGGTTGTAAAGGGTGGTTTTGCCAAGGCAGCCATGGGAGATCCCCGTAATTATGGAGGGAGAGCCCTGCACCTTGTGCCGCGGTTTGAGGGGACCGGATCTGATCTTTTGGTGGATGGGCGGTTGTGGTTCGTTGATATCCATCCTGATAAGCCATGGGTTCTACTGACACCGCACAATGGGAACTCGCTTCAAGTGTGGGACTACGAAATCGAAACCCGGGTTGCCGCATTTCTCATGCCCGACGTAGGCGATGCCAAGGAAGCGAGATTCGTACCGCAGAAGGAGTGGATTGTGGTGAGACGTCAGCGTAGCTTCCACGTATACGACATGCAGGGTGGGAAGTTTTCGTGCGTGAAAGTACTCAGACCGCCTCGTAGTCATGGGCATGCGCACGGACTGGCGGTCCATGGCAGCTCATGTTATGTACTTACTTCTTTCAGCGACGGAACGATAATTTCATGGGACTGGAAAAAAAACTGGTCGAAGACGGCATTCGAAGGCCACTCTGCCGCCGTGACAAAGTTGATCTTTCATCCAACAGATCCACACATCTTTGCCAGTGCCTCCCGGGACCTCACCGCAAAGATTTGGACCGCAGCGACAGTCACTGCGGAAATGTCGCCGCGGCAAACTCTTCAGGACAAGGACGTGGACATGGAGAGAATCAGGACCATGGAATTTTGTGCTGGACTGAGGAAGTCGCTTCTCATCACCGGTCATTGCGGAGGTGCAGTACGGGTCTGGGATTATAAGAAGGGCTCCTGCGTAGCCAGATTTAGAGGGCATGCTGCGGACGTCGCTGCGGCGTTCTTCCATCCGCGCTTGCCGTACATCTTTACGGCATCGCGCACCGGAGAAATTGCAGTTTGGAGCGAGTCGAGGTACGAGCTGCTGTCGTCGCATCACAGCGGAATGGATGTCCTCGAGAGCATGATCTCTTGCCGACACTCTAACTTTCTCTTTCTTGGTGGTAAACGAGAGTTCATGATTGTGAAGATGACCGTGAGAAGAGACGGAAACGAGAGCGAGTCGGATGCTGCAGATGGGATCGAGACCCGTACGACTTCGAGTAGACGCATCGGGGACCCGAAACCGGTGCGGCCCGTAAATGGGAGAGGTCCTGGACATGAAGATAACTTCTTCACCTTGGACCAGCAGGAAAGGAGTGGAGAAGAAGAGGACGACGGCGAAGAAAGGGCGCAACGGGGATCGTCTTCCTCAGAAGGCGGGACCCGGAATGAGGCGGCGATCGGCGTTGAAGTTACGTGTGACCCTCCTCCACCATCCGCTCATCGAAAGAAGACTGAGAGGTCGGCGGAAGATGACCCAGTGCAGGCCAGGATAAAGTTTGAAAAAAAAATCGAGGAGCAGGTGATCAACGTGGAGCTAAAGTGCATGAGAGCGCTTGCCGATTTGAGATCAGAGCATCAGCGAAAGGAGAGCACCCAAGCAGAGAGAGTTCACCAGCTGGAGGCAGAGAGGGTAGCCCTGGAAGACAGGCTTGAAAAGTTGAAGCTAAGGATCAAGGAGCTGAACCCAGATGAAGACCTGGAGCAAATTGACTGCTCAGAAGAAGAGGTCGCCGCACAGGAAGTCGTCGAAATCTGCGAGTATTCCACCAAGGAGGTTCAGGATGCAACAAACAACTTCGACGTGGAGCGGAAGATTTCCAGCAGCGATCATCGCGAAGACGCTTATCGGGGCAAGCTGTACGACGGTACTCCTGTTATGGTGAAGAGGATAGAGATCGGAACGACTGCTTCGGGTTATGGGATTCATGGTGCCAAGTTCAGAACAGAGGTGATTGACCAGTTGAGACGGCTGCAGCATCCACATTTGTTGAAGTTGTTGGGAGTCTGCTACGAAGAGAACTGTCTGGTATTTGAGGATGCGGAAAATGGGAGTTTGAAGGAGTGGATGATGACAGGAGAGAAGTGTGGCACTAGAGGTTGTCTGTCGTGGCAAGTTCGTTTGCGCGTTATGGTGGAGGTTGCACGAGCCGTGAAGTACTTGCACTCTACTACGAAGCGGATGGCAGATGCCGGTCCCGTCATCCATCGTGCCATCCGACCTGGAACCATTCTCCTCGATAAAGACTTTGTGGCGAAGGTCAGCGGTGTTGACGAGGCGCTGCTGGCGTCAGCAGTACCTCCACTGCCTGAGGATCAAACAGCAGGACCGACCATTCGCCTAGTTGTGGGATGCGACTCCCAATACGTTGCGCCCGAATATTTTCGAACGGGAGTTTTCACGGAGAAGACTGATATCTATGCATTCGGCATCACTGTGTTGGAGATGTTGACCGGACAGTGGGGGGATGCATTGGGGATCATCGAAGACGTGGCTATGGAAGATGACGCAACTTTCAGAAACGCTCTCGATCAGGACGCGGGAAGTTGGGACGTAGAGCTGGCCAGGGAGGTGGCGAGACTGGGTCTGAGCTGCACGACGTCAGACTGGCGCAATCGGCCAGCCACTGCAGTTGGAATCCTACCTGTGCTAGAGAAAGTTGCTGGCAAGGCCACGGAGCTCGCAGACAAGGCCACGGAGATCGCACACTCATCAGGAGATGCAGAAGGAGAGGGAACGAGTCCAGAGAGGGGAGCTTCCAAGGAGGTGCTCGCCGACTCTCCTCGGGATGTTGACGGAAATGGAAGGAGTCTGGAGGAAGTTGCTTGCCGGGAAGATCTCGCAGGCTCACCTCGAGACATGGAAGGAGACGGAACGAGTCGTGAGGAAGCTGCCCAGAGGGCAGATTTCGACGAGTCGCGAGCGGACATCGACTCAGAAGGAAAGGGAACGAGTCGGGAGCACATTGATTGCAAGGAAGACTCGCCCATGGGAGACATCATCACACGAGAAGTCGATTGGGAGGACGAGCTGACAGATTCACCTGCAGACTTCGAACGAGAGGGAACGAGTCCGGAGGAAGCTGCTCAGAAGCCAGGCCTTGAGGACTCGCTAGAAGATGTACTCGATGAAAAGGGGACAAGTCTGGAGGAAGTTGATTGCAAGGAAGAGGTCACAGATCTTCCTGATACAGACGTTGACGGAAAGGGAATGGGGCTGGAGGAGGAAGTCGATTGTGGGGAAAAGCTCATGGATTCACCTGCGGACGTCGAAGGAGAGGAAACAAGTCCAGAGGAAGTGGCTCACAAGGCAGAATCTGAACCTGGTCTTAAAGACTCCACAGAGACGTAGAGGGTAGTGGATCACAAGGCAGATCTTGAAGGCTCAACGGAGACGGAGAAGGATCAACACGATTCAACAGGCATACATTTTTTTTTTATTATTATTTTTTAAGCTCCACAGATCTGAGATGGAGTAGGATCAGCAGGCAGTTTTTTTTTGTTTTTTTTCTTAAGCTCCACAGAGATGGACAAGGGCCCGAAGGCAGATCTCTTCGTGTTTTTTTTTTTTTTTTGGGTTCACGAGGCAGATTTTGAAGACTCCATCAAAGGTTGTAGATGGATGACAAGGAAGAAGATTAAAGAGTCAGAGAGATGTCATTAGAGACGGATCACGGAAAGGGAATGTGTCTGCCAGCACCCTAAGCTTCCAATAGAGAAGAAAGGGCCTCGCTACGCTGCTCACGAAAGAGGACAAAATGCAATTGCATCTTGCCACAGAAGGTGACCAAATTATGTCCGATACTATTTGTAGTAACACACATGTATTTGGCTAACTTCTGTAGAAAGATGCGGTGGCGTTTTTCAGTTTCGTGAGTGGTGTGGCGACGCCCCAACCCGGCTCCTGTCAGCGCCCTTCCACTCAGGGATGACATGAACAGGGTAAGGATTATCCAAATTTATTTATTTATTTATTTATTTATTTATTTTTATTTTTTTAAATATCGTGTGGCCCGATGGACCACAGATCAGATATTAAACTGATCAGAACAGATACTACACTTGATCTATTTTTACTATTTTTTAATTTTTTTAGCCAAAAGGGCGAGAAAGGTATAGGATTATCCAAAGTATTATTGCCTCGCTTAGTAGGTTGATCCAAACATTCAAGATATGGTTACAAAATGAGGGTTCTATTTAGAAAAACATCTATAATCTGGCTATATATCTAAATATATAAAAAAAAAAAAAAAAAAAAAAAAAAACACCCTACAGTCCTCACCCGAATAGAACACCGGGTCATTATAGCTGTAATATGTGTGGCAACATTCAGCCCAGGTGCAGAAATAATGACACTGGGAGTCAAGTCCCACTAGCAGCGGCGATGAGGAAAGTTTCCTCAATGCGCGAACCTGGATCTGTTTGTGGAGAGGTGCAGTTGAGAAAACTCAACATGATTTTTTCTGCACGTCTCCACAAGCACGTCCAGATTCGGGCTTCTTGAGGAGACTCAACACTGCTAGTGGGACTTGGCCCTGGGGCCACCGGGCATTCAATTTTTTTTTTTCTATTTGGGTGAAGAGACTGTAGTGAGTGCAAATAGTTTGGGCTGTGTATTGCCCTCTTTTTTTCCCCCCATTTCCTAAAGGGCGGCAGGCAGCCGTGCTAGATTATGATTGAATTGGCCAGACTGAGTCTCAGTAATTTTTTTTATTTTATTTTATTTTTTCCCGACTCCCTGGGGTATTTGATTGAGAGAAAAACAAGAAAAATGAAAAACTTGAGGGCATGATCGCACTGGGACTTTTTCAACTGATCTCTATCGTCGTGGATATCTCACCGCAACAAAGTCAAAGTCAAATAACATTCGAATTTCGAAAGTAATAAAAATGCCATGCGGTCAGATATCCATGACACACACGGTTGCATGGCCTTTTTATTACTTTTGAAATTTGAATGTTATTTGACTTTATTACTTTTGAATGTTATTTGACTTTATTACTTTTAAAGTTTTGAATGTTATTTGACTTTGACTTTGACCATAAAACGGGTCAAAGTATATCGACTATTATGCTTGTTCATTGGTTTCATTATGCTGTCAGAGCTTCTGGGAGCTTTAAAACCGGTACTCTTTTTTTTTTTTTTTTTTTTTTTTTTTTGACCGTTACTATTTGGGTCACCGTGTTGTTTACTTCGCTTTTGTCGGTCTATGAATGAAGGGGCGGGGGGGACTATAAACTGGTCAAGTATATCCACTATTGTGCATGTTCATTGGTTTGATTATGATGTCAGAGCTTCCAGGACACTAAAACCAATGAACACGCACAAAAGCAAATACTATTTGGGTGTTGTTGACTTTGCTTTTGTGCGTCTATGAAGGGCGGGGGCGGGGGCAGGGGTGGGGGTGGGGGCGCGGGCGGGGGCGACGGGCGACGGGTGTTGTTCGCTAATATCTGCATGGTTCTTTTTTCCTTTTTCTTTTTGTCGATCAGGAGCTAGACAATTAATATGGGCATGTTCGTCACTTAGCTGCGGCCTTCCCCCAAATGCAATGTATGCTGATTATGGCTGCACTGGACCGGAAAGATTGCTAAGTCATAGCTCGTATGCATTCATTATCAGGGTGCGTTATCTTCGGGAAAGGCGGTAGACTGCCCTTGGGGGAAGGGAAGGTATCATCATAGATTGGCCAGGGTAAGCTGAGCAGGGGTATTGTAAAGTACGGGCATATTAATAGCCTATAATACCCCGACCCCATCCAATCCTGCGTTCCTTTAAGGATTTTGTGGACATCGGGCTCTTTTTTTTTTTTTTTTTTTTTTTTTTTTTTKTTTAGTACCTTTCCCCTGTGGGAAAATAGGGAAAACTGGCAGTTTTCCCAAACTCCTGAATATTCGGAGGTCGGGCCCGACGACGACTGCCACTGATAAATCTGATCGGCGGCCGTCATTTCGTTTCGGCCTCTGAAAAGGTCGGACGCCTACCCGAGGCCCGCTATTTTCCCACGCGGCAAAGGTACTAGTGGTTTAAGCCCAGGTTGTTGTAGACGCCGGACTCCAGACACACGGGGGTCCTGACACAGCTATTGGTAGTCCTGACAGTCCGTTATGCTCCATAAGACCACTTTCCCTACCCATCCTCTCGGCAATTCTCCTAGCGCACCCCTATCCTACTATCCTACCTCAGTATTGAGTACTCAGGACTATCACCATGCTATTTTTCAGAGGGCGACGTGGACCAGACAGTAGTTCTAGGCACCGGGGCTAGGCAGGGCCAAGCGCGAAGCCTTGAAAGCCCCACCCAGCCCTAGTTGAGGCACAGTCAAGCAAGCCACGTCACTTGGGTACATAGGGCGCCAGGCTCAAACATTATGTCTACTTCACCTACCAACCCCCATTCTAACATGTTATGTTATCTATGTATCCTTACTTCTGGCATTTCATTCCTTTCTACAGATGTCAGATACCGAGGTGGGACAAGGCCAAGCGCAAAGCCTTGAAAGCCCCAGCCACCCCCAGTCATGTGTATGTGCTATCTGTGTGACATCTATGTGGCCATACTCACGCCAATGAT